AGGGTTTGAACTCGCGGCCTCCCTTAAGAGACCTTGAACAAGCACCCTGGTACAACTTGAACTGAGTTTAAGCCCTGGGAAGGCATCCCTTACGGGGGAACAAACACGCAATAAGCCCAAGGGCCCAAGGCTTCCAAGCCCAACCCCTAACAAAAAGCAGCTCAACCGGTGCTAGGGTGCTCATTCAAGGTCTCTTAAGGGAGGTCGCGAATTCAAACCTTGGGAAGGCCCCTCATTCGGGAGGACAAACAAACAATATGTCAAGCCTAAGAACGGTCCCATGGGGTACCCTTGGCAAAAAGGCAGGCCTTTTTGTTAGGGGTTGGGCTCAGAAGCCTTGGGCCTATTGCGTATTTATTCCCCATAGGGGACACCTCCCCAAGGTTTGAACTCGTGGTCTCCCTTAAGAGGCCTTAAACGAGCACCCTGGTACCACTTGAGCTCCTCTTAAAGGAGGCCACAATTTCAAACCCTAGGAAGGCCCCTCCTACGGGAGGACAAACAAACAATATGTCAAGTCTAGGAACGGCCCCACAAGGTATCCTTGGCAAAAAGGCAGGCCTTTTTGTTAGGGGTTGGGCTCGGAAGCCTTGGGCCCTTAGGCTTATTGTGTATTTGTTCCCCGTAGGGGATGCCTCCTCAGGGTTTGAACTCGCGAAGCTCAAGTGGTACTAGTGTGCTCGTTCAAGGTCTCTTAAGGGAGGTCGCGAGTTCAAACCTTGGGAAGGCCCCTCCTACAGAAGGAAAAACAAATGATACGTTAAGCTCAGGAACGGCCCCACGAGGTACCCTGGCAAAAAGGTAGGCCTTTTTGTTAAGGGTTGGGCTTGGAAGCCTTGGGCCTATTGCGTATATGTTCCCCGTAGGGGACGCCTCCCCAGGGTTTGAACTCTTGGCCCTGTAGGACTCCTCTTGATTAAGAGGATTTCGTGAGTGACCTTGGTACCACTTGAGTTGATCGGGAGGCATCCCCTATGAGGGGAACAAATACACAATAAGCCCAAGGGCCCAAGGCTTCCGAGCCCAACCCCTAAGAACTCTAATTTCTATGATGATGGGCCATGAAGAAACAACTTTCTGCATATTGTGAAAAGCACAGAGAAGCTATCATAGCTTTTCCAAGAAACAAGTCAAGTCGAAGGCAATATTAGGTGAAATGAAAACGAATCATCGGTTCTTCATCGGAATCAAGAGACGTCAAACGTTCCATCACTTCCATCAGGGCTTGGGCAATTGCAGCATCTCCACCTCGTAACAATAAAGATGAAGTGCATGCCATTTCTTGATGATTTACAGGGATGGTTCTTGATCGTTGATAGGAAACAGAGAATGAGGACTTTGTGTTTTCCTGCTTTTAATGGTTACTTTTGAACTTCGGATTTGGGCTGAATTATATTTCGACTGTTTTCTCGACCTGCCTATTGGCCCAACTAACTTGAGCTTTGTTATTTTGAGCTCTCAGATTTTTTTTTTTTATTTCAATCTTTTTTCTTTTTTTATATTGTGGTGGGTCTGAACTATTGTTTTTTCATTTTTACCCATTATTTTTTACTCTTTTCCCTCTCTTGGTTCTTATATATATATTTATTTGAATTCGATGGAAGATTTATCTCTCAGCCAATACTTAATATTTTATAATTTAAAATAGTTTAAAACGTAAAATAATTTTTTGCATTTATTTATTATAATAGATTAAAAGAATATTATATAATTGATATTATTGAGAATTAATAAATATGATATTAGAAGTTATTCTTATAAAATAATTGTTGTGATTATAATTTAATATAATTCAGATAATATAATAGGACACTTGTAATAAATGTACATACTAATTAATAAGAATATCAAATTAAATAAAATGCGGTACACTGACCAAATGGAGTAACTTAAAATCCAAGAAACAAGAACATTTTATGAAATGTAATGACCATTCAAATAAAAAAAATAAAAACAAAATACTTGTCAACACGCCAGTTCTAGACCAGCTTGGAATGCACAAGGTGAGACCAAACTCTCTAAGTATGGAATCATAGCAAAATGTTGGATCCCTCCAAGTCCCTGTACTTGAATCTTCTTAACTGATTCATCTCGTCGATTGTAAAAAAATACTTGATCTCCATCTTTAGTGTATTCATTCGTCAAAACATGTCCATTCCTAGTGAAATGTATGGAAAAATACAAGGGTTTGGAGGGAGGACAACATGCCAGAAATCTGAACAATATTTTCCAAGAGTTTTCCTCCTTTATCCACACATCATAATGTCTTACATTGCCAAAGTGAGGAGTGCCTATCAGACTTAGGGATCCTCCTCAATCCCCCAAGACACATACGTTATCATGCAATATGTCACTTGGAAACTTCTCTTCTTTTACTATCTCTGTCTCTAAATCAAAATATACCATCAAAAAACTAAGTGACCTTCGAGGAATATCCGGTATGTTGCTGATCCAATAGATGCATCCATTAACACTCTTCCCCACTTCTGGTTCAACAAAAAAAGTCGCAGTTTACGTGGTTTTGAGCAGTGTTCCACAAACCAGTCCTCAATCTCACACTTTGGATCCTTGTTGGTTTGTTTTCACGAGGACGCATGATGTTTACAACCTTGTAATCATCAGTGGTACAATCATAACCAAAACCTATACCATCTATACGGTCTGGTTTTGGAGGCTTCGGAATTCTCCTAGTTACCTTTGTTGAAGGGTTCCAAACTAGAACACTGCACCCCTTAGGAATGCCTAGCATACCATCACACTTTGCTGACTGCTGGATAAGATAAGTTTCTATCTTTTGGGGAGCTTGAGTTTCTACAGCATGAAGTACATCCCCCTCACAGTCGTTGAGATCACTAGGAATTCTTAATACCAGGAACTCTAGGTCCATCCACTTTCTCTGGAGAATGAAATCCTAGTGTTCATCTTTAGATTTCATGTTCTGAAGATGATTTTGATGAATCTTGAATCCGAAATCAAAAAGTTACATTGTTTAGATATACATTTGAATCGCGTTAAGGATTTGACAGGAAGGTTAGCAAGAATATCGATAACAATATCAAAAGACAAAAACGCCATATCCAAGTAAACTTCAATTTGACTTTGTTTAACCACGAAACAAGATAGTCGATGAACGATGCAAGATAATTGATGAACGAAACAAGATAGTCGATGAAGTTAGCTTAGTATTTATAGTGATAATAATTGCAAAGTTCCATTTGAATTAGAATTAACCGGTTATTAATTATTGCATTTCTTTGACTTCCAGGACTAGGACTAGGAGACTTTTTTTTGGAATATACAACAAGGAAAGAAACTCAAAAACTAATGGGGTGGTGCAGACCCTTCGCTTATACTCATCTTTGTTCTTCTCCACATTATATACACTGGTCATGCAAAAATTCAAGATGCAAACAGTTGCTAAATCTACACCGAAGTGCCGAGTTCAACATTACATCAGAATTGATAAAAATGCAATAACATTGATCAGGCATTAGTCAACTAGAACTGGTTGCATGTTTTCGGCTTCTCTCCTCAGCTCCTCAAACAGGACGGATGACAAGTATCGCTCTCCGAAACTTGCATGATCCGTCTGACATTTAAACCAATAAGATGTCATGCTTAGGATTGTGACTAAGTTACATTTATGCTAAATAATAAGATAAGTTCTGTATGCTATGAACCAATAAGCTTCTCTTAATTATCAAAGAAAAGTATGGCTAACACATAAAAGGTTTGCTCCAGATCCAAGTAGAGTTGGTGGGAAAATCATACTTTTACCACAATCAGTTTGTCTTTGTTCTCAAGCATTCTTGCAGGTTTGAGTGCTGCAACAGTGTTGGCCCCAGATGATATCCCAACCCATGTTACATAATTACCAGAGAGTTATTCCGAGTAGAACAATGTTGAATTTCACCTCTTATCTTAGGTACGGATTTCAAGCTGTGAATATTTTTATCAAGGGTAGGAACCAAGAACCAAGGTATTAGAATATCAATATTTATTTTAGAATATTAATATTTATATTAAAATATTATATTTACATTGTAATTGATTATATACATTTAAATTAATTTATATTATATCTAAAAATATTTTATTGTATAAATCTTTATAACTTTTGTACACATAATAAATACAAAAAGATAATAAATCTTTCTTCAAATGTTTTTTCTTCTATTCTGTTTCTAACGCAAGGTTTTGAATTAGATTCATATCCGATCCAAAACCATACAATATGGTTCAATCCATTTCAGCCATAGTAAGCAGAGAGACAAGCT